ATATATATATATATAGTATAGGATCAGCGCGAAAGACAGTGCGCAAAGATTTTCTAGTAAAAACTATGATATTCTGATTTTATTGAACATTTATTGCAAGTAAAACGAAAAAGAAAAAGAAAAAAACATATAAACGCAAGGCTTTCGGCTCAAGATTGAGAATTCATCTTTCTTCCTTTTTTTCTCCACGTTGGAAGCATGCAACAAGTTCAGCTAAAAAGAACAAGTCTGTTATTCGATCCGTGAATATACACATCAATTGTTTTGAATTCATCGCGGATTTGCAATCATTCAACCGCAATTCATTCTATCATTTAATCTTACGCTTACGATTTTAACTGCAAAATTTCGACAGCAAATTAAATTATTTGTTGTTTTGTTTTTCTAATTTATTATTGTTTAAATTATTTGCTTATTACTTATTATATTATACCATAGATATGTAGAATAGAATAGAATTTATTATACTTCAGCATTTATATAGCCAAGAAGGGAACTTGGTTTACATAAATTCCCTACATTGCTAGTACCTAACTCTAAAAACAAATAAAAGATTTTCTTAATATTCTTATTTTCACACATTTCTTGGAATATCACAATATATATTCTTTTATCTTATAATATTTATTACCTATATATGACAGACTGACCATTGCATATACTATAATATAATAGTAGACTTATAACTACAACTATACATTTGATAGATATGTCGCAGTACAATATATATTCCTAATATTATATCACAACATTTCTAATCGTGTCTCACGCATTTCTAAATGCAAACTTGTTCTGCCTAAATATATTACTCCATGTCCTTTATCTCGCTAGTTGTCTTTTTCTCCGTTTTCCTTTTCCTGATCTCTTTTTTTCTTTTTCTCTCTAATTGATCTAAAACTTTACATTTAATTGAATCTAATTCTTCACTCGAAAGTTTCTTCCACATTTCCTTCTTATCCTTTCCTAGTTCCCTAAATCAACTATTTTTGGACATTTCTTCACATAGTGTTCCATATAGTCTATCCCTATTCCGCAAAATACGCATTCCTTATATTCCTTATCAGCAATATTTATTTCCTTCCTCCATATTCCCGCATCTAAGTCTAACTAAATCTCGCATGTCTTCGCCCACTCCCACCCTACATATATTTTCCTTCCTTAAATAATTGGGACATCTATTCCCCGTATCAAACTCTTTATACCTTTCATTGTATCTCGCAGTTTTCATCTTACTGTCATTGCCCATCCCTTTCCCTCCTAATTATTTCCTCCTCTAACCTCCCTTCATTTTCATCGTTCCCTATTAATTCCCTCGCATTTAGTCTCCATTCATTTCTATTGTAAAACCTTTCTCTTTCTTTACCACATATATCCTTTCATTTATTCTTTTCTTTTTCTTTCCAATAACACCGAAGTAGGCCGTCCTCTCTCCTTTTCTTTAATTTCCTTTCGTATCTCATGGCTCTTATTTCCCAACCTATCCTTAATTTGTCCATAGCTAATTCCCTCAATATTTTTTAATTTCATTTATGCTATTCGAAAGAGAATCGTTTGTACTCGTTTGTACCTCTCTTACTTTCGTTTGTATCTCAAAGGGTTCGGAGATACAGCGCGTTTCAGTTTTTGCGCAACCTCTATATAGCAAACTTAGTCAATTTTAAAGATATCGAAATGGGACCAACGGCATTCGAAAGAGAATCGTTTATACCTGTTTGTACCTGTCTTACTTTCGTTTGTACCTCGAAGGGTTCGGAGATACTATATAGGAGTTGCGCAAAAACTGAAACGCGCTGTATCTCCGAATCCTTTGAGGTATTAACGAAAGTAAGAGAAGTACAAACGGATACAAACGATTATTTTTCGAATGGCATAAATGAAATTAAAAAATCTTAAAGTTGCGCGCTGGCTATTTTTTATTTTTCACTTTTTGTTTAACTGTTTGAGGTACAAACGAAATAATGATCGGTACAAACAAGTACAAACGAAGTACAAACGGCCTGCAGTATTAATTTTTATTTTTGATAAAGTTGAGCGCCAAGTTCACATCGGTATTTTCTCCAGACTTCCTTTTTCTTTTCAACCCCAGATCTTCACTCCACACTTTGTACTAGGTATTTAAACAGTATCCATCTCCTTATAAAATCATTTCTGCATAGTCTTTTTCCTAAATTCCATATCTTTTTGACTGCCGCCCTCCCTTTCTTACTCAATT